CTTTGGACCTAAAGAAAACTGAGTTAAATATGTTTATACTGGCAATGATGAATCGTGTGCCATATATAGGAATGAATCTTCGCTAGCCAAGGTCTAAGTTTATTCGACCAAGCCTCTAAACAGACCTTGGCAGAACGACCATCAAATACGTGTGTGTGTATGCGTATTCTAACAGCGCCCATTAGTCAGTTGCGCCTAATCATTGTCCAATCAGTTTGCGTGTTACAAATCCCTCTTTGGCGTTTCATTTTAAACAAAATGGGGGCGCCCATGAATCGTAATATTTGTGATGAAAAAAAAAATGCGAAAGTTTTCGGTGTTGGTGCCTTCTAGCCTCACCAGGTACAGTTTTGTGTGGGAAGGATGTCTTCATAGCGACAAAAACAGGAAGTGGAATTTTGTTTTATAATTTGGTACGTCCAAGCTGATTGGGCGCCTTGTTACGCAATTAGCATATGCGATCCGGACGATGCAATGAGCACTAATTCAATTGTTTCGTGACGAAGGGGGGGGGGGGGTGACGTCCCGAACTCGATCAATTTTGTTGATGTATAATTCTCGAGGAAGTTACTTAACAGAAGAACGGTATCTCCGTAGGACACAAAGAAAACAAAATGCTTGTATTATTATCAAAATGCATGTTATGTTCTGAATAATGTTGTAATTGTATATAAAATTTATATCCATTCATACGACAGATGAAGCACTATTAAGATTAAAGGAAAGGTCAATGTTGCGAATTTTTATAGTTGCCTAATATTATGTGTATGTGCTGTTAATTAAAATGTATTTGTTGTTGAAAATTGTGTGTGTGTCAAATCTAAGAGTTTTAATACATGCCTCCCAAAGGCTACGTACATCGCTATTGTTCTAAATAAAAACGCCCTCATGCGGCTATGACTGACAATTTAAGTGTAGCGCCTTATTTTGATTCTAATTTAGAGGTTCCCCGTAGTCCTTGACGCCTATTCAAGACCGTATGGTTTATTGTGGCTAGCGTGATGGGGTAAACTTTGTTTCGATAATGAGGTGTTATAACAGTTCAAATATTCTCCAATACTCAGTTTAACTATCGAAAACAACTATTTTTTTTATTTAAACAAAAAGCATGTATTTAAACTCTTAGAATTTGACACACACACAATTTTCAACAAAAACAAATACATTTTAATTAACAGCACATACATATAATATTAGGCAACTATAAAAATTCGCAACATTGACCTTCCCTTTAAACCGTGATATCCAGAAATAACTGCCATGAATCAGGAAACAACCCCACTTCCAAGATTTTCATTAGTTTCTTGTGACGCAAGTTCAGAACAAAGTAAGGACAGGGTCAATTTCAAGGCATAACGATGTGAATCGACTTTACTACAAAATAAGATGAGACAGGAATGACTTCTTTTGTTATGCAGTAACTCAAGTTTCTTGTAGTTGTAGAGAATTTAATTGGTTCGGTTTGGTTTGGTTTGGTTTGGTTTTACCTTTTAAATTACCAGAATCAGTTACTTGAGTTTTAAAAGGTGTTGATTATTATTTCCTCAGTTTGATCAAAAAAAAAAGTTATATTTATTTGAATACAGCTAAAAAAATACACAATATTAAAGAGTAAATCATTTTTTCAAAATATATGGTGGATCCTTGATGTAAAATATTAGTAGCGCCACCTAACATGTTCGTAGTGGCGCTATCGCCACAACTTTAATAATCCTACAGCGCCGTAACACCAACTCGAATAGTTGTATGTTATTATTACTTGGGGTCTATTAAATTCATGATGTCATCTGAAGTACAATTTACTAGTAACTTAAGGGGCATTAATCGTCGCGAAGTGCGTACATGTATTTGAATTTGGCGTAGCATCTCTCACCCAATCACCCTCAGTTATTCATTGAAAGAATGCACACAGAATAGAAGAGGTTTTATTTTTAGTTTATTCCTGATTAATGGTGAATGTCCAGTTATGTTGTGTTTTACGGGTATTTAGTTTCAATAGTGTTTACTGTTTAAGAAGTATGTCTGAAAACATGCCCATGACGTTCGAAGCAAATGACAAAGCAAAGTGTGTTTGCAATTATTTTGTTTATCGATTGTATTTAGAGCGCCACAGGCGACCTCGTGCAGCGCGTGTTCGAATCTCATGTAAAATATGTATTTTACACGTGGTCCAGGCTTTTAATAGCTTAATTAGACGAATTAATTTAAAGCATCTTTGTAACTGTACTCATTTGAAAAGACAGTGGAAATTGAATTGAAATTACCCATGAGCACTTGGTGCAATATCTGTGATTGAGAGTTTTTTTTTTGTCTGTTTCTTTGTTTATTTATTCCCTTGCTCTTTTTCATTCAGTGTTTTTACCGATTATTTTTTATAAATAAT